AAGGAATTCTTTGATGACACGATGCTTATATTCTAAGCAAACAGAAACCAATAATTATTTATTCTAGAAGTGATAAAAGTTATAATAGCAAATATAATAAAATAATCGTCGTGACAGGGATACAATAGAAAAGTAAGACTCTGACAGAATTTGCATTTCTTAACTGTGTATCCACTATGAAAGCCACAGGAAAAAGTATCATCTTACATATCAGGCTAAACGTACATATACATATGTATATGTATACAGTGTCTGTCGAACCACGCGTAGGTTAGAGACGTCGACTGTCGCGTAGATGGAAATTCGCGTAGTTGGGAACCATCCCCCGGTTTTACGGAAAACTGAAGTCTGATCATCTGCACTGTGTGTCAATTGTCGTACATTGTCGTTGGAATAATAACAAACGCAGTAGGTCGTGTGTAAAGACTTAGTTGTTTACTAAGAGACAGTGTTTTTCCAGAAAAGGATAGAATATGTATATGCCTCGGGGAGGCAACAGTAAAAAAAAACTAATTTCTTGTTGTTTCATAGCTATAACGCATCTTATTACAAGAAAAATAAATTTAGGATACGATAAAACGAAATTGTTGCAGTAATTAATCTAATTAGCTATAAGTAGGCTCTTCTCTATTTTCAATTTACTCAATCATTCGATTGTGTACGTATATATACATACATATTATTCACGCATACGCATACCGTGGCGTAGTTCGCAGAGACACGCTTCTCGTTTGATTTTTCTCCCAAGCTGAGCTATTCGTTGTGTACTTGAATTCGGTGCACCACTTTCTTGTATGCAGCGGCACTTAATTCACACGAACGAATATGCTAAGTACGTAAATTGATTGGAAATCCGCGTATAATCGAAAACGCGTTGTTCGATGTATTCCCTACAAGACTACAATCGCACAGTATAAGCGACGTTCGACGTTCGTCGTGGCACTCGTTCGACAGCCTCGTAAACACCGACTGAGGACGAGTCGTCCTGTCCGATTTCTTATCGCTGTACGCTCGCAACTGTTCTGGGAAAATTCTAGGCCTTAACTTCTTAGAACTCGTGATATTTCTTGCGAGCCAAACATAAGAAACGCGAGCCTGGGTCGCTGTACGTACATCGAGCCAAATATAAAGCTAGCTGTCTGTTCGCGCACAGAAAAGAGTTAGCGGGAAAAGAATTTTCTGATTTTATATTACTTTTATTGGCAAAACCGAGAACAAACATCACACACGTGGTCTGAATACAACGCAATACGCCATACTTTTTTTCGCTCGACGCATGCGCGGTCGTCACTCCCAACGCCGCTCGGCGGACGCACGCCGATCACGGTAAAAAGACGCGCCCCTTTTAAATTCAAACCGTTACACTGTTCTTTTGAGAGTAAAACTATCGCGAGTTGCTCTCGAGAGTATCTCTCGCGAATGGACACTGCGTTTGAGAGTGACTGTCTGAAAGCATCGCTCAACTCTCTGAGAGTTACGACTCGAATAAGCAGTTGTTTTGCAAACACGAAGCAGTTTCGTATTTTTGACAGAACTCTCGTGCGAGTAAAAAATGTCAGGAAAAAAAATTAGTGGAGAAATGAAATCACCGATTTAATCACTCTCTGTGAAGAAAAATCAGTGTTGTGGAATACGAAAGATAAAGTATAAAGGAGTGATTTTTATGTTTTTTCACCGTAAAATAAAAACGATTATTTTGGGACTTGTTTAGTGTGATTTATCAGTATATTCGCTATTTATGCGTGCATTGTATTGTGGATTTATAATAATACAAAGAAGCAAGGCACAGCGAGTTCGTATGTTCCACAAAAATACAAAAGTGCTGCGTTCACAAAGTGTTCATGATCGACTGTAGCGATTGTAAAATCTTCAATTAACACTTTCATGAAAACACATAGTCTATTTACCGTAATACTACGAATTTAAAAAATTAAAAGACCAAACTGCAACTGTTAAAACAATTCACGTTATAGAAAAAGGGTATACATATATGTTTAGACTGATATGTAAGATCATACTTTTTCCTCTGGCTTTCATAGTGGATACACAGTTAAGAAATGCAAATTCTGTTAGAGTCTTACTTTTCCATTGTATCCCTGTCCTTGTCCCGAAAGCCTGATACAAAATCGAATTCGGAAAAATACTTAGCTTCTCCGAAATTGTCAAAAATTTCAGCCATATTAGATAGCGCATACGCATCGCTAACAGTTTTTTAAATTTAAGGTTCGAAAACAGTATGTAGCACCATCCGTCAGTGCTTGTTGCGTTTACTACCCAATGAACGATCCAGATAGGAGTGTTATAAGGTAATTCTGATGGTTTCATCATTCCGGTATTTAATCCTTTCGTTACTATTGGCGCCTATAGGCGTTTTGAAAATTCGCGAAAATTCACTTCCACCTTAACTTAATACTTCATTTTATCCTTTACCCATTTCCACCTTAATTTAATGAACCGAATTTTAAAACGATACAGTCAAAATAACAAATTTTGCATCCGTGGTTACAAATTTGCCATCAGCTATCCATGTTACGCTTTAAAATCTACTGTAGCGAAAGGGTTAATAGGTCGTTTACTTGTTATTTAATTTCGTCTTAATGTACATGTAGGCGGGAAACGGTATTGTCTTCTATTTATTGGTCGTACTAGAATTTCAGTCACACTTGTAAATCCTAAGGCAGTGCTGTTCAGTCGTTGCCCGTACGGGCAGCGCATTGGGCTTTCCCGGGCGAAAACAAGTCGGCGGGCAGCAAGCCACGCCTTTTCGGGCAACGGTGCGTGTATGCAAGCGTGCATGTATGTAGTAACCATAGGAGAATTATGTTTGGAAGATATGTAACACAAGCGTCTTTCCCCACTCCGCTTTAGCGTACGTGATTTCACTATTTCGCGACTTCGCTCTCAGCTTTGCCCGCGGGTATCGGCGGGCGCCCTTGCTCGCAACGACACTGGTCTAGGCACAACGAATTCTCGACGACGTTGGCGCTGACGAATGTACCAGAGACAAAGACCACTTCGACAGCTAGAAACCCTCGAAGGCCAAGGCTTCCAGGATTTCTGCATTTACGAGTACCGTGTCCTGGTTCATGTTCGTCTTACTGCACTAGATCTGCGTGGTCCTTAATTGCACTGTTTGGAAATGCCTGGCTGATATTCGTAAATTTATTTGTTTGCATTGTATTTCCCGAAAACAGAAGATGGTCTGGATTTTATAAAAAGAAATGCAATAAATTAGAAAACGATAAATGTGTTAATTAAACTCTATTGATAGTCATATAAGGTGCTGTACCCGTGCTAAGGAAAAATGGACTTTTTCTCAATGTTTTCCAAAAAGTGAGAGAAGTATTCGAGTTCCATTGTGCAATAGGCATACATATATATGCTGGTGAAGTTTTTAAAAAAATCATTATGTTGTGTAGCAATGAAATTTTACTTG